GAGTTCATATTTATGTATTTATTGAAATGCATATGTAGTATGTTTATATTAAATATATATACTTTTATTTATGTGAAACAATGCATACTACATGTATAGAGAGTCTCCTTAAAAATCTTTAAATACATTTAAACAAATACAAGAGTCAGTGTGTAGTGGTGTGGAGAAAGTTCCTGATTCGTAAGTCCAGACATCAGAGTGCGGATATCAGGTTTCTTGAGCAGTATGTTAGCTAGATTCTATTTCTGTATTTTAGTGTTGGCATGTGTGAGGGAGTTGGTCTTGGTGATTTCCTAGGTCCTCCTTAGCTCTAAATTCCTTTGAGTCAATGACTATAATGGAATTTTCAACCTAATTCCAATAATAAGTGTTTTTCTTTTTAGTTCAAAAGAGAAGTAATATTGCTAATGAACCAATTCTTTTATGCACCAGTTGGTGCCCTAAAATGTTCATCATTGCATAATGAGACTGCAGATTTGTTCTTTGTAAAAGCCCTTCTCTGATGGGACCAACTTTCATTCTAGGGAGAGACTTAGATATTTCTAGAAGAGGTCTAAGTCATTTGAATCTGAACTTGAACCTTGTGGTGAGCTTGATTTTTCTCCTTAATATACTGTTTTTAGAAAAGCAATTTTTCTTTCCCTGGCTTTTGCAGTTCCTTGCACATTGCAAGCACTCAATAAATATTTATTGAATGAATTGAATTTGACCTGCTTAGAAGTCATAGTCCTGCTGTAGGGTTATTCATTTTTAGCAAGAGCTGTCATAAATCACAGGGTTTAACAGTAATCCAGCTGATGAACCGCACACTCAGCAGCATATACTAGTTCAGCATTGTATGTTGCACTTTTCCAAGTGCAAATTTAGAAAATAGTATAGCCTACAGGGCCTTGATAAACTGACTCTGGCCTATTTCAGATCTCTTATATCATTTACTAACCGCATTACTATGCTTCCACCATTTAGAACAAGTACATTTACTCCTCTGTTAACATGCTTTGCTCCCTGGTGCCTCTTAAGTCTTTGCACACCCCTTTGCCTACGATATTCCATTTGGCAGATTTAGGTATGCTTTTCTTGACACTTTCATGTGGATATGAATGAGCTGCTTCTTTTCTCCTATAGCACTTTGTACTCTCCTACATCATAGCACTAAATTCTCCTGTAATTTTTAAAGCCACCAGTCTTTCCCATTAGAAAACTCCTTGAGGGCAGGTCTGTGATTTATTCTCTTCTGTATTCCTTGGGGCCTGAAACAATGCCTGACACATAAACATTTGTTGAATTAACAAATGGGTCCTGAAGTTCATGTGAATTTGTAAATGGAGTAAAATAAAAATGTAAATGAGTTTAGCAAGGATCATTAATTATATGCCTAATTCTAATTAAATTGTGATGTAGTTATAAAGATCAGCCTGAGATTCAGATGATACAGGCTCTTGTTTTGGATTAATGATTTTTTAATAGTCCCTTAATCTTTGTAGTTCTCAGTTTTGTTTTGTTTTTTTAATCTGGAATGAATAGATTGGATGGGATCTTTACTAAGATCCCTTAGAGCAAGAATTACATTGCTCCTAAGTTAATTATAGAGAACTAGATCTCTTCTCCCAGACCTCTTGAGGCAGTAAGTGTGTTCTAGTCATATATAATTTCTTGGTACTAAGCTCAGAACCAGGTATATAGTAGTTATTCAAATAATTTTACCAATAGAGTAATAAATTACTATATGGAATTACAATTTTAAATAAAGCAAATGAGTAAAAGGTCAGGTAGAGAATAGTGAATTAAATATCCATAAAACTTAAAAGTATCTATCAAAGAACAGCTATTTGGAATGTCTGAAAAAATACCTGAGAGGATTTTCTTATTTGTTAGTTAAAAAACTAATCAATGGAGGCAATAAACTTGAAGCTGCCTGGTCCCCTAACTACAAGTTAACTAATTTATCAGTCTGTGACATGTTGTAACACATTTTACATTGCTGAAATTAAACTGTGCCTGCTGTAAGATGTTGGTGGTAATATTCTTAAAATTTCTGTATACATGTAATAATATCTTTTGATTTAAAAAATTGAAAAAACATATCTTATTTCAACCAGAATTTGTTAAATTAATGACAGACTTGGGTGTCAGTGGTATCTTATATCAGTTGTTAGGACAGATATCACATAGCACAAAAAAAAGGGGTAAAAATGCTTTATCAGCCCTTTTAATTATGCCTTTGTAAAGAGTTGGTATTATTTAATAAGTAAGATGCCATCCTACTTTTTCAAGAACTTTCTTGGAGATCAAAATAATTTTCTTGGGGCTGGCCTGGTGGCGCACTGCTACAGTGGGCCGCTTGGGAGCGTGGCGGCGCTCCCACTGAGGGTTCGGATCCCACATACAGACCGGTTCCCGCTCACTGGCTGAGCGAGGTGCGGGTGCGACGCTGAGGGTTGCGATCCTGTTGCCGGTCCCGGTCCGGTACGGGCACGACACTGAGGGTTGCGATCCGTTGCCGGACACGAAAAAGGACAAAAAGGAAAAAAAATAATAATAATTTTCTTACATTTAAACTAAGTCTGTACGTTTAGGTTATTAATTTGAATAAAATACTTCTAGAATTAAATTGTGAAAATAAAGGAAATAGTATAATCAAAATATTTAAAAAAATATTTTGTGCATATTTATGTATGTATGTATGTATTCCAGAATCAGTCAACCAGTTCATTCATTCATCTATTAGTTATGTACCACACAATTCTGTTTTAGGCAGTGTATACGAAGAGGAGGACGATATGATAGTGCTCTAGGTTAATGTGAAAAATGTCTTAAATTAAGGGCTGAGGTTGGTAATTTGAGCCAGATTTTTCTTCCCCCACACACACAAAATATATGATGGTTTCTTAAAGAAAGCAAGTGAGATAGTGGGTATAGGGTATTTTTTCCATTTGTTGGTTCCTTGATTTATTATGTCTGTGGTTCTAGAAATTATTTCAGTTCAAGTATTTTCTATTCATCCCAGGGACTTTTATAAGTGCAGAGGGATAGATCCATGTTTTGTGGAACCTGAAATTCATACAGTTTGGAGGGATCCTTCTAAAGAATACAAAAATGCTAACACAAAATTGGGTATGAAAGTGAATTTCCTTTAGCATGAGGAAAATTTGCAAAAAATTATAATTCTTAAAAATCTGATAAATCTATAAACATCAAAGAAATAATTTAGGCTAGTTTTTGGCTCTGTATATTTTATACTTAGATTCTCTTCCATTGCCCACATACACTGTCAGTCCTGGGTACCATGAAACACATTCAAATTGCCAGATTTGAATTGGACATTACTATTCCTATAGTGGGCTAGTCAGCACTGTGGGCACTTGAAGTATTCCTGAAGCCATTCTTTTTTTTTTTTTTTTTAAATTTTTTTTTTTTTTTTTTTTTTATTAAAAAATAAAAACTTATTGAACACCATGTTGTTTTGAGACATATATATAAACACAGTGAACTGGTTACTACAGTTAAACAGATTAACAAATTTTTTTTGTTAAAAGCACTTAAAATCTACTCTTTTAGCAAATTTTCTGTATGTAATGCAATATTATTAACTATAGATTTTATGCTCATGATATATATTAGATCTCTAGGCCTGTTTATCCTACCTAAATGCATATTTGTAGCCTTTGACCTACTTCCCATTTCCTCCTCCCTTTCACCCCTAGTAACCATGGTTCTACTCTCTGTTTCTATTTATTCAACTTCTTTTTTTTTAGATTCCCCATATAAGTGAGATAATATAATATTTTTCTTTCTGTGCCTGGCTTATTTCACTTTCATCGAGACTGCTGACCATAATTTAACTATTTAAATAGTTAAATAATGACTGCATACCTCACATACACCTTCCACTAAATGCAGACTATTTTAGCGAGATTCCAAAAATGTCCATGGTCAATTCAGTGCCACCAAAGAGGAGGTAAAGTGTGATGGAATGGAATTCATACTGGGAAAAGAGGAAAATTTTAACCAGTTGTGTTTGAAATATCATGTTCTTGAAAATTAAAAAATAAAAAATATACGAAGAGGGCCTTAGAAGAAGGCCATGTATCTAAGGGACTCAAAAGCTTATGCTTCACCAGCTTCTCAGTAAGTCTGCCTTCATGTATACATATAGCCTTTTGTAAGAGTGCTAAACCGTCATATTATGTGTGCTCTTGTGCAAGTCCCAATGATTTTATTTAAAAAATTATTTATTTGGAGGGCTTTTTATGTCCTATTTGGAGAGGTGAGAATGCAGTGGGCCTATTAGCTAAATCACTTGAGCATGTAGACATGAATGCAATAGTTGAATCACTATTTCTTGCTGGCAGAAGGTATTTTCAGTTCTGCAGGCAGCCTGAACGCCCCAGTGGTTGGATGGCACCTGGTGGAATGACTGAACCTTTGTATAGCATATGTTTATAGGCATGGTAGACAATAGGGGTGGTAGAAAAGATGCATTCTGACCTGACACCCATTTACTGCTTAACTTCTTTGTTTTATTTTCCTCAGAGTTCAGGAACAGTACACCAAAACGTCAATTAAAATCTGTGAGAGAGCTTTAGCTGGGAGTTCAGTGTAGTAAAATAATATCTAAAGTGACACATTGGTTGTCAGCAGAAAAGGCCCATTTCCTCATTTTTATTAGAAAAAAAAAATACTATCAGTTGTATATAGTGATTAGTAGCACACTGGAGTTCTTTTAAGCTATGCACAATGGGACATTAAAACTTTAGGGGTTGAAAATAGGATGTGATATAGAAAAGATAATGGGAGAAGAAGAGAATAGGATTTAATTATATTAAGACAAATGTGAATATTTGCCAGTTTTTTTATAGATTGGAGATAGTAATTTAAGATCATAACTTATATTATGGAAAATGAAGAAATAGGGCATAGTTCTATACATTTCTGATTTGTCTGTGAAAGATAATATTATCGTTCTTATGAAAATATTTTATTTTTGTCTTTGTTTTTAGGTAAGACTGTGCCAAAATCCCAAACTTCAGTTGAAGAATAGCCCACCATATATACTTGATATTTTGCCTGATACCTATCAGCATTTGCGACTTATATTGAATAAATATGATGACAACCAGAAACTTGCACAACTCAGTGAGAATGAATATTTTAAAATCTACATTGATAGTCTAATGAAAAAGTCAAAACGGGCAATAAGACTCTTTAAAGAAGGCAAGGAGAGGATGTATGAAGAACAGTCACAGGACAGGTAAGAGTATTTCAGATTTTTTTTCTTAGTGTTAAGACCATTTATGTTGCTTTTTTCTTCATATTTAACACAAATTCACTGTATATTTGTTATAGGGGAAATGTCATTCACTTTGTATATTTGCTTTTCACATTATTTGATAGTCTTACATATATTTATGATAATTGCTAATTTATAAGATGGCATTCTTATTATTTTAATAGACTTTATTATTAGACAGGTTTCAGGTTTACAGAAAAATTACTCAGGAAGTACAGAGAATTCCCATAAACTCCCTCTCCTTCGCAAAATTTCTCCTATTCTATCTTGCAGTAGAGTGATACATTTGTTACAGCTGATGAACCAATACTGATACATTAATATTAATTAAAGTCTAGAGTTTATATTAGGGTTCACTTTTGTGTTACAAGCTTCTATGGTTCATAAATGCTTAATGTTGTGTATCTACCATTACAGACAGTATCATATAGAATAGTTTCACTGCCTTAAAAATGCCCTGTGCTACACCTGTTTACCCCCCCCCCCCCCCCCCCCCCCCCCCCCCCCCCC